GCTCAGACATGTTAAGTGCTGTAGCTAATGCAGTTTGGACAGCTCCATAAAGCGATGGAGTAACTGGTTCATCGTACATTCTGTACTTTATTGATGCAGTTATAATGGTACCTTGATACTCATCGTTAATTGATTCTGTCATGTGCAATGAATACCAAAAAATAGTACCAAACAATTTCCCCCATAAGGAATAATGCAATGGGTCACAAGGCAGCAGACATTGACAAGTTCTAGTTTGTGCGTTGAGTATCAAACAATACTGGGACTAAATTCGCATCAAAACGTGTTGAGTACCAAATTTGATTCAAAGCACTTGAGTATCAAGGTACTGCTGTAGTTTGGATTTAGTTTGGACGTAAACAAACTGATTAACCAAATCATTTTATGGGATCTATTTTATATATTAACTAACTGGAGCAATTATTTTGGACTTGGTCAGCAAATTGATGAACCAGATTTTATATTTGCATAATACCCTTGACCATGATTTGTGCTTCCCATTCGGTTGAACTCTGGTTAGTTGAACTTCCAGTTCATTTGTAGGGGACATTGGGCGATTATATAACCATCCCCAGTTGGGCAGTCCTGGGCTAAAACGGGTGTCCCACCTCCACGTCTCCAGCCAATCCCTTTTTCAGCCTAGCAGGTGTGAACTGGCCAATTAATTAACCAATGACATTTTGGAGGCCTTCCTGGGAGTCGGCTGAGTTAACATAAAATCTGTTCTCCTGACCATAATAATGAATCTCAGTTCCTGTAACATGTTTGACATTTCACTTGGGGGTCCAGAAAGAAATGTCACATGATTTCTATTTCAGTTGCAACGTTTATGTTTGCAAATATATTTCATCTGCAAATGCAGATTTTTTCTTTTCAATCTGCCTGACTGCCCAGGATCATGATGAGAGAAAGGAGTGGGATTCAGTCTGGTCTTTGTGTTCAGCTAATTATAATTCAATGTGGCTAAACTAGCTAGCCCTGTTTTAGCTACTGTGTTGTACAAATCCATTTCTGTGCTTAGGCTGTAAAAATGAGAGTTAAACTCAACAAAGCATGGCTCTGTTAACTATGACTAACCATGTGTGAACCCAGTACCGGGGGTCTATTCAACAATGTACCGAAGTAACTGAACTGGGGCTTATTCATTTCACGTTCATTTCCATGATGTATCTGTAGATTGTCGTGTGTGAATGGCAAGTGTGATGTGCAAACTCAACTGATAATATTCTTTACAGAGATATCAGTTGTGCCAAAACAGCAAGGATGCAAACTGGTTTTAGCAACTTGTGAATAAACAAACCATAGTTTGTGATTTTCAAGACACTGGGCTGTCTGAACATTGCATTCTCTCCAGCACCGGGTGACTTCCAGACCTTGACTGCACGACAAAATGCTCTTCGTGCAGATGGAGAGAGCTTGGATGCTGGTTCCCATCTTCTGCCATGCCACTGCGCTTCTGCTTTGTCACCCCTGGAATCCAGTTTGCCTTCTCTTCCCCTCCAACCAGGTTGGGCCCAGGTGAGGGGGCAGACTTCTTAATCTGCAATTACCAGAAATTCAGGTTAGGATCACCTTGGTGGAAAAGATGTCTCTGTGAGTATCCTCTGCCACATGGAAAGGCCTTGCTTGGAAAGTACTTAAAATTGTAGTAAAAGAAGGGATGGAAGGAAGGAAGGAAATTTGAGGAATAGAAGGAAGGATGGATGGAAGGAAATAGGGAGAATAGAGAAATGGAAGGAAGGAGACAGAGACATCTCCAGAACAAACTTTTTAAAAACCATACAACAGCTTCTTCAGATCCAGCAGTATTAAGAAATGTAGACTTCAAGTCTCAGAATTGCTGGCTGGGGAATTCTGGGAGTTGAAATCCACATCTCTTAAAACGTTGCCATGTTTGAAAAACTGCCCAGGAGGAAGGCTGGGTGGGCTTTTGCCCTCCCACCCCGTTGGCTCAGTTGCATTATCTTTGTTTCTGCCAGAGTCGATTCAGAAGGTCATTCCTACTTTGAAAGGCTTCAGATAAACTTCTAACCTTTTGACCATTTCACCTTCATTTCCCAGGCATGTGCTTTTTGGGGGAGGGGGCCTCTCGCAAACTTCCTTCTCCGGTGGGGTCTTTCTCTTGAATGCAAAACTTGAGCAGCTCTTTTGGCCCTTGTTTTTTTCTTGAAATATTCCAGGGAGTTGCTTCAAAAGAATCCTCTCTCTGCTTCATGGGTAGAGAAGTCCTGCCTGTCATAGGGGAATGTTATCTTGTAATGTCCAACCTTTTGACAATGAAGAGGAATTTCTTGTGCCACATATAAAATATATAAAATAGTTAACGTATATAAATAACAAACTTCCTTTATTTTTTCATATTTTTATTATCTTTTGCAGCTGCATTACTAGCTGTCCAGGCCAGATGCTCGTGGGTTGAACATGCCTGGGTTAAGGATAAAAGCCTCAACACACCTCCAGCAGAATAAAGATACAATCTGGATGGGGCACTTTTCAACTTCAATCTTGTAAGTTGTTTGACGTGGTAGAAAGTTTCCTATCAGGGCAAAGAGATCCTCTGATTGGCCCATCCCTGGCTACCTCCAGGAACATTTTTAAGTAATTTTAATCTCTGGATCAATGTTTCTCAACCTCAGCAACTTGAAGATGTATGAATTACAACTTCCAGAATTCTCCGGCCAATGTGGACTTTTAACTCCCAGAATTCTGGGAGTTGAAGTCCACATATGTTCAAGTGGCTGAGGATGAGAAACCCTGCTCCGATCAACAGATTCACAATGCCTCCATCAAGCTAGATGGTTGGTGATCTGCTTTTAGTCAATTTTTGCCCTCTTCTCCAAAATGCAGTCCATCCCTCCCTCCCTCTTGGGCTGATTTTTCTGAGGGTGGGGGAAGGAGCATATGCAGGACTAGATGCCTGTCCCCAAATTCTGCTCAGAGGATACTTTTCACCTTTTCTTTGCTCAATGTTTGCACACCTGTTGAAAAGGAAGATGCCATTTATTCTTAAGGGGCCTGTGGTGTTAACGCTAAATTTGTAGATCTCAGAAGGACGGAAAGCAGGAAATCCAGGGGGATTTGGTGTCATTTCATAGCTACGATTTACTAGCTAACCAAAATGGGCTTTGCACAGTGCACTAAGCTACAAAACATGGTTTCAGCCAAGATGGTAAGCAGGAGGCAAAGGAACCACTAGATGGCAGTATCGGCATGAGTCTTCTTTTCGCCAACTGTATCATGTAGAACCGTCCCCAGCCTTTTCGGCACCAGGGACTGGTTACATGGAGAGAGGTTTTTCTGTGGACCCAAGGGGGCATGGTTTTGTGTGCTGCCTGCATCCCATGGATGGGACTTTGCTTGTTTGTGCGGCCCGGTTGTTGGCACACCACGGCCCGACACCGGTCCATGGACCAGGGGTTGGAGATCCCTGATGTAGAATCAACTAAGATTGCAATTCAATAGGGTGTGTAAACCGCAATAATTGGTTTCAGTTAACCACAATTCAGTTAGCCTTGAGAAAGTTTCCCTGGAGGGAAACCCAGGTTCACTGCTGTATTTTTTGCATAGAGGCAATTGCATATTTTGTGGAATTGCAAAGGTACCCCACGAGCCTCCCTTAGGCCAGCAGTCGACCCAAAGTGGACACCTTGCAATTTTGCCCATGGTCATCTGTCGCCTCTCCTATTTGACATTCCTGTAGTTCACATTCCTGCAAATTCCTTTTAATTGAGCAGCCTTTATTAACATGAAGACGGACACTTTCCTGTCTTTAAAATGACAACAAAACCCAGCTTGTTTCATCTTCATTTCATCCCTGGCTTGAATGCAAACTACAATGCGCTACGCGGACAGGAAGCCAAACAGAGATAGGCGACATTGGGGAAATAGCAGGAATACACTTAAATTCTGGAATTTGCAGCTAGAAAGAAAGGGCAGATTGTTGAGCGGAATGAAGAATAGCTGGCAATTGCTATCACTCATGGATGAACTGACAGTTCTCTTTTTAGCTTGATTCCCCAGAAGCACAACATTGCGAGATGCTTCTGAAAAGTACCATCTTGCAATCCGCGGCACGGTTTTATAAAGAGATTTAACTCCAGGGCTCCGAGCCCTGAGCTGCGGCGGGGTGTTAATGCGGTCTGTGGGTGTGAAATCAGTTTATAAGTGAGGCTGCACAGATCATTTAAAAAGGCACTCCGGAGCCAGGCTTGGAGAAGGCGGAAAGACCCCAGGCGCTCGGTGGGAGCCTTGAGAGAGAATCCATCCATCATCTTAGGCACTTTGGAAGGTTCTCAAATTCTCCTGGTTCCCTAAATCAGCCATTTCTCAACATTGGTGACTTTAAGACCTGTGGACTTCAACTCCCAGAATTCCCAGCCAGCCACATCTTTAAGTCCTCAGGTCTTAGAGGTGCCAAGGTTGGGAAACGCCGCCCTGAATTCAGAAAAAGTCTTCAGAATCGGCTGGGGGATTCTGGGAATTGAAGTCCAAAAGTCTTAAAAGTGGCTGAGGTTGGACACCCCAGTGGGTAGATTCTGGCTGATCCTCTCAATCCGAACGTGCCTAAGGAATCTAGGAGGGAGCGAGTGGAGAGCGCCTGGACCCTCCCCATCTTTCTCCGAAGCCCTTTTCCTAACCGGCTCCCCGAAGGCGGAGGCTGCTGGCAGAGCCGCCCGAGAGGCCGGCGGGCTTGTCCGGAGCCGGCCAGGTGGAGCCGCCCTGCCCAGGGGCAGTCTACCGCAGAGGGGGAGGCGCAGGCGGACGAGACCCCCCCTCGTCCCGCGGAGCCAATCAAGAGCGAGGAAAGTTTGCGGGGAGCCAGTTAGGGTAGTGGCGGGCGGCGGCCCGGGCCAATCCCGGCTCGGCTCGGCGGCCGCTTCGTGGCGGCGGCGGCGGGGCCAGTCTTGCTGGCGGCTCCGGCGGCGGCGGCGGCGGCGTCTCCCTCCGGCTCCCGCTTGCGCCGCTCGGCTCGGGATGTGCCCGGCCGCCGCGAGGCCGCGATGACCGACGGCGGAGTCGCTGCCGCCGCGCCCGCCTGGCGCCTCTGCGCCCTCCTGGCCGCCGCCGCCCTGCTCGGCGCCCGGGCGGAGCCCACCTGCCCTCGCGTCCGCGCCGCCTTCCCGGCGCTGCAGCCGGGCGCCCGCGGGATACTGGAGAGCCCCGGGCCAGGTGAGCGCGCGCCGGCCCGGACGGTTCTCGCGGGGGGGGGGGCGGGTGGAGGCGACGCAGCTCTGGATACGGCGCTGGGGCGGCTGGCTCCCTGCCTGCCTGCCTTCCTTAGGACTAGCGCCTTTCGCTTCCAGCGCGTGGGGCGGGCAGACTCTAATGGGGGCCGGCCGGCTCCCCCCTCGCCCCGGCCGGTTAAGCGAGCCGCCGTCTCTCCCTCCGCTCGCTCGCGCCCTGCCTGGAAGCCGAAGCTGGCCGGGCGCGCAGCCTGGCGGGGACGCTGGCCGGGCTCGCCGATCCTTCTTCCCGTGTCTGGCGGGCGCGGCTGGGCTCGACCTGGGCAGGAGGGCCGGAGGGCGATGGAAGAGCCCCCACCCCACCCTCGTGGGAAAAGGCTGGGCAGCCTCTCTGGATGAAAGGAGCCGCGGCTTAGTCGGGCGTCCCGTGTCGTGTGAACTTAGCCCGGAAGCCGGAGGAGTCCCTCCGCGGTCGCGGCACTCGCGGCCGGTGCTCCGGACTCTTCGCCGGATCTAGCAGGGTGGTGGGCGTTTTTTTGGTTCTTCCCTACAGCATCTGGGTTTGCAGATAGATTGCTCTGGAATATGGAAGCACCCCTTGAGGACCCTGGCATAGGGAGATTTGAGAAGGAATTTGACTTTACCTGCAGTTTAGGTTCCTGCTCCAATCCTGCATGCGCTTGGGTAAGTGTATAGGGGTGCTGAGGGCTGGCTAACTAGGCTCCAGACTCTGCTGCTAGACTCTCCCTCAAACAGGGATGTCCAACCTCGGAAACTTTAAGGCTTCAATTCCCAGAATTCCCCAGGTGGTCCAGCAGAAAAATTCAGTTTTGCAAAGGCTGGACCAGATGCAGGAATTGCCTTATTTCTCTCATGCTCTGCTTATGTGCCTAAATTAGAGGTACATTTTTATTTAAAAGTTAAACAAAGGGTAAAGCTCTCATAAATCCTCCAGGGGTCTTCCTAAAAAGGAAAAAAAAAGATATGTCACGAGTTATTCTTGCAAAAATGATTACACTGTTTAATTAAAAAAAAAAAGACTGCATGCTACAGATAATCCAGTTGGGAGATATGGATAGGTTTTCCAGGCTTGAATGTTCTTTTGAAGTAGGCTTAAGCAGACTCATTTTGAGAATTACAAAGTGTTCAAAGATAACGAAAAACAGCAAAGGATGAGGAAAATTTAAGATGCCGGGCTGTCTTTGCTTACGTAGGGCCTTTGCATCTGCCTACAACTTAACCGTAGCTAAATGCTAACATCTGAATCCCTCCGGCAGCTGTCAGGATAGGTTGGGGTTATAGTTTCCAAGATTGCCAGCCAAGAACGAGAATGATAGCCTACCTATCACATCTGGGTGGGGTACCAGTTTGGAGAAAGGGGTCAAAACCTGTAATTAAGGGCTGTTTACAAAGCCAGGATGTGATCTTGCATCTTATCTAGACAATATGTACAGTACCAAGAAAAATTCAGCCTGAAAGTCAGAAGAATAGGTAATTTTGTTTTTCTGTTTGTGGGGTGGGGTTGATGACAGATTTCTATTGGGAAGGTGGATATTTCCATGGAAATGCTCCTTTTATGAAATCTGACCTGGAGAGGTAAGAACTCAAGAAGAGGACAGTCCCTAGAAGAAAAAGCCAGCATCTCAATCAGTGTCTCTCAACCTTGGCAACTTGAAGATGCATAAACTTCAACTCCCAGCATTCCCCAGCCAGCTGTTCTGGCTGGGCAACTTGGTCCACACATCCTCAAGTTGCCAAGGTTGAGAAACACTGATTTAAATGCTCATAAACTCCCGGATCAGCTTGCCAGCAGTGAGGGCATTATTGCTCTCCTGATGTTGCTTAGCTAAACCCTGTTGGACAGGCTGCCTGAGGCTGCTGCAAGGAAGGAAATCTCTGGAGAGCCACAGTTCCCTGATGGAGGTTAGAACCAGAATCTTCCCTTCATCCTCGAAGCAAATTTTGACATTAACAAAAAAACCTTTCAAAACCAGTAAGGTTCCACAAACTGCCTAGCTGTGAATTTTTGAACTGGGACATTTCCCAACACCTCCTAGGGACGCCCTACCAACTCACGCATTGCAGCAGTCAAGGCTTGGATAACCAGTGAGTCACGGGGGTGGGATTTTTGGGGGGTTTTGACCCCAAGCAGTGCAACAGGCACTTCCACGCTTGCCGTTCCACAAACCCATCTGGTCCTGCAGTGAGAAATATTTTCAAATGAATTGCAGGGAGTCCTCGACTTACAACCACAATTGTGTCCCAACATTTCAGTTAGTTGCTAAGCAAGACAATTGTTAAGTGAGTTTTGCCCCATTTTACGACCTTTCTTGCCACAGTTGTTAAGCACATCACCATGGTTGTTAAGTTAGCAACATGGTCATTAAATGAATCTGGCTTCCCCACCACTGACTTTGCTTCTCAGAAGGTCGCAAAAGGGGATCAAATGACCCCTGAACTCTGCAGCCATCGTAACTAAGAGTCAGTTGCCAACAGTCAGAATTTTGATGTCCTGACTGCAGGGAGGCTGCAGCAGTCGTAAATGTAGAAAACGGTCGTAAGTCACTTTACGAATGCCATTGTAACTTTGCACAGCCACTAAATGAATGGTCAACCGAGGACTAGTAGTACTTAAACATTGCATTTCCCTTCTCTCTCACCGGTGGGGGCGGTGGGCTCCCGCTTTGCCTGCAGACATATTAATGTGGAGCCCTAATGAAAAGAATGGCTGGCTGGTTATTTCTCTCTTCCAACCGCTCCTTCTGGAGATCTCGGTAGAGTAATTATACTTTGATGAGCGTCTCCTTTCCAGACCGGGCTCCATAAATTCTCTCTAATCAGGGGAGTGTCATGGCGAAAGGGTGGCCCGGCTTCTGGTTTATTGCTCACTTGGTCTCCGCTGCTGCCAGGCTTGCTCTGCCTGTCACGTTGGATATTTTTCTCCATCTCCTCCTCCTCTTCTTCCCTCACTGGCCATTGACCGCAACTTATTGGTAGCCTCACAAGAGCTTTCGGCCATCTTCCGATCAAATGGTAACCTGCGGAATGCGGACCCATCGCTTGTGGGTCTGAGGTGGCGCCTGAGGTTGTCCGTGTGTGTTTTGGGTTTTCTGCATTCCTGGTTGAAAATGACCCCTATTCCGTGTGGCCAATTAGCAGTATGGAAAACGTCCAGTCTGAAATTGGTGGCAAAGAGCAGCAAAGAGGCTGAGGGCTTCTGGACAGAAATGGGGGCGGGTGGGTGGGTGTCTATCTTGGATGGTCTCCCAGGAAAAGAAGTTGCAGGATTGGAAATGAGGGGACAAGATGGCTTCTCTAGAACCCAGGTGAACCGGTCCTGTTTTGGATTTCAGTGTGAACATCTTTGTCAGTTTGTGAGACACGTTTGCTCAGGAGATGCCCCATCCTTGCTTTGCAGAAGCATCTCTGCCTATCAGGTTTTCTAGTTGGGGTCAGCCCTTCCGGATGTGCCTCTGCAGGCAGTCTTACAGACCTTGACTTACAGACCTTCATTTAATGACAGTTCAAGGTTATGACGGCCTTGAAAAAATGATTATGACCATCACACCACCTCACGGTTACACCTTTGCAATTTGGGCGCTCTTGTCAACTGGCTGGCATTCACAACTAGTTGAGGCATCCAGGGGTCCCATAGCCATGTTTTCCGACCTTCTCAGATGGTTGCAAGGAGGGTATTTGTCCAATTGCGGCTTCCCAATCTCCCTTGTGGGCTGAAAAAAAAAAAACCTCATTCCCTTCCCCCCCCCCCACAATCATGGACTGAATCAGAAGAATTTTTAGCGACATTTAACCGTAATCATTTCTGTAGTGAGAGCATTTTTAATTTAGTATTTTCAGAGGCCAGACTAAGAATTGATCAAAGTGAGAGTATAAAAAACAATGATCTCTCTACATGTAATATTGAGACAAGGAAGGGGGGAGGACAATCCCAGGACCACTTTCTGATTGTTTTCCAGCCCACGAGAATATTGGAAAAAAATGTTTATCCTGGGGGTTTGATGTTTAGTCTTGTTTACGAGGCCAGAAGGACTGTTTGTGATGGTTTTTTCCTACCTCAAAAGGTCATTGATTTCTAGCTTTTTTATCTGTGTCCAAGAAAGTAGGAAGTTACTTTTTTCCGACAACTTTTCCCTCTTTTTGTCTGTGCTCTTCAATTTTGCTTTGCCTGAGTCCCTCTCTCTTTTAAATTCTTTTTCTTGTTTGTATTCTACACCTTTCTGAAATTTTGAAACAAAAGTTTTGAAAAGAAGAATATGGGCCCAGTCCATATTTCGATCCAAAAGGATCGAAAGCAGAAAACATTGCAACGTTCTGCTTCCGTTGTTTGATTTCGGTCTGTGTCACTAGACACAAAAGCAGGGCACAACTCTTAAAGCAGATGTCTGCAGGTGACTTTAGTTTTTTAAAGGAGGAACCATGGAAAAGTAAAGCTGGGAGGTGCTCACAAGGGGCTCTTACAAATGTCTTTTCTTACGGAGACACTTGGACACATTCACTGTAGTTCGTGACCATCACCTCTCCCGGCTGCCACGCCAAAGTTTTAATCTGTTAATATTAGAGGATTATGCAAGGGGACAGCCTTATCAATTTTGTGCAACAGTAGCCTAATGATTGCTCACTACCGGTTTCCAGCTTCCCAGATAATTTAATTTAAGTAGGCAAGATGGATGCCACTGTAGTAATTTCTTCATTGTATTGATAAGATGATTAAATAAATGCCTTACAAGATTACTGTAAAGCGACTTCATTTTCATGGACTGTCTTTCTTCTCTGCATCGTGGTAGTTAATTGGCTGGCACAGCTTGTTCCAGGTGGCCTGGTTCTTTTTATGTATGCCCTTCTTACTATCTTAACGACTGCAGGGATTCACTGAACGACTGGGGCAAGAAAGACTGTAAAATGGGGCAAAATTCACTTACCAAATGTCTCATTTAGCAACAGAAATGTTGGGCTCAGTTGGGGTCGTAAGTCAAGGACCACCTGTGTTGTCATTTGCAACCTTCCTAGGGAGCTTCTGACAAGCAAAGTCAGTGGGGGAAGCCAGGTTCACTTAACGACTGAAGTGGTTTGCTTAACAATCCTGGCAAAAAAGGTTGTAAAGTGGGATGTGACTCACTTAACAACCATCATGCTTGGCAATGGAAATGAGCTCAATGGCCATCATAAGTTGAGAACTATCAGTTTGGTGTTTTGGTAGTGTTTGCCCCAAGGCTGAGCGCAACTCCCAGCTTGAAAGTTGCGACTGTCCTGGATTTAGTTCCTTCTCTCCCTAAGGACCAAATGTAGGGTGCAATCTTGGAAAAATTACAACACGTGGTTGTGGAAAGACGCAGCAGCCACAAGTGTGTTGGTGCCACGAAGTGCAATTCTTGGATTGGCTGGTGCAGGTTGGAGGGCTCTGGAGCCCAAAGGGGGGAACAAACGTAGCGACTCTGTGGGGAGTATCAGAAGTTAGTGCAGCCGATCTTTTGCTCTGCACGGCACTTTTCAGGTCCTCTGCTTTGCTGGGTAATTGAGTTGTTTTCAGCTTGCAATTATTTCAGGACCATAAGTTGCTCTCTTGATAGCAAAAAAATGCCGTCATGGAACTCTCCAAACTGTAGGAGCCTGCTCCAGGCGATTGCTTTGCTCTCGGTGACCGTTTGCGGTTCCCTGTCTTTGCCAAGGGATTAATTTTAACAACACTCCAAAGTGCCATTTTTGCAAGCCCTTCTCCCCCCCCCTTCCCTCCTTTGCTTTTTCCTCGCGGCTTCAGGAAGTATGTTTATGTATTTATGTGCCTAATTAAAATAGAACGGGAGCCGTAGACCCTTACAAATTAGAAATTGCTCTCTTTTTATGGATGAATATTGGTAGACGCTGCCTTGGCCTCCTTTACATGGTCTCGTTCGCATATCTAGACCAGGAAAGAAACCTCCTCTTCTTTTGGATCATGGGGTTGCTTCAGCATAAGATTCTTGGGGGGGTTATGATCTGTCTGAATGCAATTTGTCATCTTGAAGATCCTATTGGTTCTCGCCTATTCTGCAGGAAGCAGGAATAGTGATTCTGTCGGCTTTCTTTTTCTCTTTCTCAGTTTTAAAACCATTAAGCTTAATAACTGTGGTGATTCAATTAACAATCACCACAAAAATCTTTCCTTCCTTTCTTCCTTTTTTCTATTCTCCCTTCTATTTCCTTACATCCATCCATCTTTTTCTCCATTCTCCTTCCTGTTTCCTTCCTTCCCTCCCTCGCTCCTCCCTCCATCTTTTTCTCTATTCCCTATTTCCTTCCTTCCTTTCTTCCTTTTCTTTATTATCCCTATTTCCTTCCGTCCATCCATCCACCCATCTTTTTCTCTATTCCTTCCTTTCTTCCCTCCTTCCTGCCTGCCTGCCTGCCTGCCTTCCTTCTCTCTATTCTCTCTTCTATATCCTTCCTTCCTTCTATCCATCCATCCATCTTTTTCTCTATTCTCCTCCTGTTTCCTTCCCTCCATCCATCCATCCATCTACCCATCCATCTTTTTCTCCCCTCTGTTTCCTTCCTTCCTTCCTTCCTTCCTTCCTTCCTTCCTTCCTTCCTTCCTTCCTTCCTTCCTTCCTTCCTTCCTTCCTTCCTTCCTTCCTTCCTTCCGCTGTTTCATGTCTCCGAGGTATCTGAGAAGGCCTTGATGAATGGGTCCTGAGCTTCGTGGTCACATGCTATAGCTGCCCTCCCTTCTCCCACATGGGAACGGAAGGCAGAGCAATTTTGGGAAGGACCATTAAACAAAGGAATTACCTTGGCAGTTGGCAAGGAAAATAGTCCTCTCTGGAGATTTTTCTGAATTGGATAAAACGCCGAAGAGGGAAAAGTATGTGTGTTTTGGCTGGCTTCCTAGAGCTGCCAGCCTTTTCCTCCTCTTGGCCCAGCGCTTGTAAGATGCCCCTGCAGTCAGGACCAGCATCGTCGACATGCCTCTGCTCAGCCTGGGAACTGAGAAGGAGCCTTGTCTGAAGCTGCAGGGCAGGGTGGAGCAGGGCAATTCCTGGAGATTCAAGGTGGACCTTACTCTTGCTAGTACTTTCAGCTCTCTCTCTCCCCCAGGAAACATTGCCAAATAGAGCCAGGGACCCCCTCTCCAAAAGGTACATGCTAACACCCCCTCCCTCCCGGTCTCTGTCCTCACAGGGTCAGATTTGCAAATATGCATCCCCAAAGGACTCACCTGCTGCTCCCGCAAGATGGAGGAGAGATACCAAGGCTTGGCTCGTTCCAACATGGAGCAGATTCTCCAGTCGGCCAGCATGGACCTGAAATTCCTCATTATGCAGAATGCGGCTGTTTTCCAAGGTAGGTGTGCAGAGAAGCTTTGTGCCCTGGGGAAGCTCGGAGCTCAGCCAGGACCCCGGAGGGTATCTGTTGCTTGTGTGGCTGGATGGGATAACCTGTGAATGACTTGGGAAACGGGAGGGAGAGCTGCTGACTAGGCAGCAGTCAGAAAAAAGATAGCGGAGCTTGGGGGTGCGGCTAAAGTCTCAGGGGACCCTCCCTAGTGTCTTGGGCTGTAAAGGGGGGGGGAGAGATGCGTCTTCAAAATTTGCAAGGTTCCGTTAATTCACCTTACAATAAAGTTATGGCTGGTACTTCTGAGTGTGCTTCTTCTCCGGACTGCCTCATAAGCTGACATCAGTCTTGCCATTGTGAAAGTACATTGCTTTCCCCCCTTGTCTTTACAGCTCAAGAAACTAGGGAGGGTCCCTTCCAGTGTTTACCACATCCGTTTCTTCTGGGGGTTCATCTGCCTCTTATCTGATGATCTGCAGGCCTTCCTCCTGCCTTACATGCTGAGGGATGCTGCTGATTGCTTTGCCAATGGTATTGCATTCACTTCCCCCCTCCCTCCTCGGGTGTCAGAAAACATAGCTGAACTCAGGGTGAAAACTTTTGTGCATTGTGTTGAACTGCGCCTTAATCAAGGTTTGTCAACTGCTTGATGCTCAGGGCTTAGCTGTGGCTTACAGGCTACCCTGGAGAGATTCAGAGAGCCGGGTAAGTCAAAAGCAGGCAGTCCATGCTACGATATAATACAGAAATGGACACCGGGCTTTTATGGTTGGCAATCTGTCCAGAAGCTGGTCTTTGGGACGTTTCTCCTGTGCATTTCAGGCTATTTTAACATGATTAAATATGGATGGTGGGTTCAGAAATGATCTGACCATTTCCAAAATAACTACACGTTTTCGTATATAAATATATGCGGGGGGGGGGGTGAGTCCTTGGTGGCAGACGGAGAAGCAAACCCAGCTTCTCCCCATCTCTTATTCTGCAGTATTTTCCTGCTGCAATCATGGAAATGCCACAGGGCCTGAAAATCTAATAATCTAATAAAGTTTGCTAAGTGAACACAGTAATGGACACGCCTGGATGGCATCTCGCTAAATGCCAAGCGATTCTCCCCGATCTTCATCAGCAAAAAGTCTGATGGAGCTTCAGCAAGGAAGGAAATTCAATTTAGCTCAGGAGAGCATCGGACAGAGTTAGCCCCGTCACTCAAGCAGCCCCTGCACGGGGCTGATGGAAACGTCCTGAAATGATTGTGAAGGGCCAGCGCAGCGTGTGTGTGTGTGTGTGTGTGTGTGTGTGTGTGTGTGTGTGTGTGTCTTGCGAAAGGGTGGGTGACATTTCCCTACGTGGCATCAAACGAAAAAAAAATGTCAGAGCTGACAAGAGCTGTTTCTCAGCAGGGGAGTAGAGACCTTTCAGGTTTCCTGGTGCAGCAAAAATAGCTGCCTGTTGAAATCACATGGAGTTGGTGACTGGACCAATGTCGTTTCCTCCCCCCCCCCCGCTTCCCACTCCCAGGAATGGTTCATGGAGCATCCTGATCTTCCATTTGTTTTGTCTCTGAGATGACAAGTTGGGAGCTTCTTCTATTAAGCAGTGTTCTCAACCTTGACAGCTTGAAGATGGGTGGACTTCAACTCCCAGAATTCCCCTCCCATCTTCCAGATGGGTGGACTTGCTTGAAATGCTTCCAGGATGGTGGTGATGGTGGTGGATCTCCATATCCTGTGTCATCACCACCATCTTAAGGAACCACCATGTTCCTTAAGGAAAGACAGTTGGTTTCTCAACCTGGGCAACTTGAAGATGGGTGGACTTCAACCATCTGTCAGTTAAATGTGGTCAATTCTGACCCCCCCACACACACACTTTTTATCAGGTTATCTTGCATCTCTTTGGTGGCGCTTAAGTGTCTGCTAAAAGCCTGGTTGAATTATTTATTCTTGGAGAGGACTTGAAATTTGCAAGATAAAGAAAGGGTCAGCCTTCCTATCTCAGATTTTCTTTTTAAGGTGGGGGTGGGGGGGTGTTTCTGTTTTTAAATCCAGGCAGCTGTCAAAAGAACATTAATATCATGGAGAAAATGACTAAAATCTAAAAAGGAAATAAAAAGGAAATAGCAAGATCTTCTCTGTTGATACACTGCTTTGTGCCTTAATCTGCTTAAACTCTTTTTATCTATAAATTAGAATTTGTTAGGTTTGTGTCAGGATGGATAAACCATAGTGGTTTCTGGGCTGGTTACTCCTCCTCCTCCCCCCCCCATACTAGCCTTACTCTTTTTTTTCACAGGGTCTTTACAGTGGAAGGCTTAGCTGCTCTCCCTCACTCAATTTTCTGTGTACGGTGAGACAAACACACACACTATAAACAAACAAACAGAACTGGGGAGCACGGGCAAAAACTGTATCTTTCTTTTCCTTGTTCTGTATAGCACGAGGGCCGGAGGATTTGTTACTCCAAGAGTGTAGTGCCATCTGTTTGTTTGAGGATAGCTTAGCCTTAAAGAGAGTTGGGCAATTCACATCCAGTCAAGCTGCATCTTCCTGCAATGTATTTACTACTACAGCAGCAGCAACCTCCTGTTTTCTGTAATTACTTCTCAAGGCAAGAATTATCTTCTGCAGTTTAAGTCTTAATACATTCCGAATGCTCTGGAAATGCTATAAAAAAGCCAAGTGATGTTTCTTAGGATTTCGCTAGGCAGCTGTAAACCTCAGCTTACCTTCTCGAGCTGAATCGATGTTGCCACATTCCGGCTCCCCCACTTGTCTCCTTCCCTTCCCCGCCACCCCCAATGTTTTCACTGCAAGCGTCTAGTCCTGCCAAATGTGTTTGCTCTCTGGGCTGAAAGGGATTAAATGAGGAAATAAATTCTCTTTTGTCTGTGCTGGAGTATTTAAAATGCAGAGAAGAAACAGTTGGTAAACATGGGAAAAGCATAACAAGAAGACCAAGTCAAGGACAAGACTGGTTGATATAAAATAAACATTTTTCCCCCTCGGCTGATCGGCTTGGCTTTCAAAGCCCCTGTGAGATAAAATGATAAAACAGCCAGGGCTGGGTCTGGGGCTAGAGAGAGATGAGCTTTTCCTGAGCCCATTAAGCTGTCAATACATGCTGGTTTCACGTCCTTGCTGGCCAAACCGGGGCCATTATTCACCCTATTGACCCTTGCCGATGATGCAAGCTCCATCCAGCCATCTATAATGGTGCCAGATCCTCTGGAGGAGTTATATTAATCTGCGCTCAGAAGAAAAGGAGAAAGGGTGAGGCAGTCCAGGGTCTGCGTCCTGGCACGTGCAAGTAGAACACTGGCTTAAGCAACAAGAACCAAATTCACCCAGAGCTTGTAAGTCGGGCTTTGCGATCCATGGTGATGGTTTAACACAGAGGTTTGAAGTGCTCTCTGTTGTGCAGATCCAGGGTCCCATTTATGCCTGTAGTAAATCATGCCTCCTCTGGTTTTGATGTGACTCCATTCATTAAATCCCACTGGAGTCTGTTGTATCAGTGTTACAGACGGTCCAGGATTTTGATTTGTACCTTGGGGAAGCCTGAAGCACACATAACCTGCAGGGTAACCTTTGAAATAGTTTAGCATCAGATACAGAGCCCTGGTGGCGCAGTGGTAGAAGGCAGTACTGCAGGCTAATTCTGCCCACTGCCAGCAGTTCGATTCTTAGCGGCTCAAGGTTGACTCAGTCTTCCATCCTTCTGAGGTCGGTAAAATGAGGACTCAGGTTGTTGGGGGCAAGAGGCTGACTCTATAAATCACAGTGCTGTAAAGCACTGTGAAGCGGTGTATAAGTCTAAGGGCTATTGCTAAAATCCAGAGATTGCCTTGAAAACACCAAGCCACAGGCTGGCTATCTGTGTATGTGCATGGCCCCAGTTTCCACCACTTCTGCAAAGCCTTCCCCCTCTGCTCTGGAGAGCCTTGGACCAGCCTCGGCCATCCAGGGCCCTCTGTGTGAAAACACAGGCCCCCAGGCTGGGCAGTGTGTGTGCGTGTGTGCATGCATGTTTATCTAAGGTGGAGCCTGGAAGAGATGCGAGACTGCTGGGAGGTCGCCCTCTTGGGAATGGCGGCTGATCTTCCGCCTGGCTCTCTAATCAAAGCTCTTGAGGGATTCCTGAAATGCCGGAAAGGAAGGGAAGCAGGGATCGTCCAGAGGGGCCTGGGTAGTCTCTGCCTGCCAGAGAGGAGGGGGCACAGATGGGAACGAGGGGTGGGATGCCACAGGCACCTTCCTCTGCTCTGCCGCCTATTTCTGCAGCTTTATTGCATTCCCCCCCCCCCTTTTGACATACAGAAGCATTTTGCTCTTTGCACTTTTAGCGTGCAGCTTATCCTGGTGGATTTCCCCAAGGGGTTTTTGGTTAGGGGGCTTTTCATATCCGTCTCCCTACCTCCATTAAGCAGCCCTGTGGATAGGCAGCTTCTGGAGGGGAGGGGAGGAAGATCAAGACTTCAGACTCTGTTGCTCCTGGAGAACATTTTCCATAGTGGTGGTTGCTCAAGAAGGAAGATGTGGCAAACTGTGAAGGCGATGGGAAAGGTTGCCATTATTAAGGAAGGCATCTACAGACGTGCCAACAGAATCAAAATCCATCTGATGGAGACCCAGGAGGATGCCTTAAAAACTCCATTTCCCCCCTCACATGCTTTGCTTTCAATAAAAATAATATAAGTGATGGCAGTCTCATTTATATTATTACCTGGATCTAAATTATCTGGGTCTAAATCTAAATAAAGCGTAAAGTTGAAGAAATTAAATGCATGGGAACAAAGTTAAACAAGGATCAACGTGCAATAGTAATAATAAATTGTACCTCTTTGAACTGTATTCCTTCTGGGAAGTAAACCTGGTTGTCTTGTGTATTATGATGAGCTTGTAACTTTTGGGAAATTGCTGAACCAGAATTGAAGACTTTCTCACTTTTGGCTGTTCTGAGGCTGATGGGCATTGTAGTTCTGTATCTGCAGGCTCAGGCTGCATCTA